CCTCTGATTATATAATGGCAAATATTACAAAGGGCGGTGACTGTACCATCGAGCGTATTTTGCAGTATTAAACACATATTTATGCCGATTTCATCAGGCTCCGAAATTTATTCTAAAAGAATACAAAGAATGGCCTTCTCAGCTGCCATAGTTGCAACTCTTGTGTCATCAGAACAGAGTGTTCAATGCACCACCGTTTCCATTTAAAAAACGTTTTGCACCGTTTTTGTTAGGGCTAAACGCAGCCAGGTGAAATGTAAATGACACCGCGCACTAAACTACATTAGTTTTTTTCTTTCTTTTTTTAATCCATCTGGACCATAGAACGGGACTCTCAAAGCCTTGAGATCCGGGAGACAAGTCAGTAAATTCAAGTAAAATCACAGGCTTCGCTTATCCCGTGCGAATGCACCACACGAAATCAGATGTGGGGAGGTAATTTCAAAATCACACAAGGTCCCCAGATAATACTAATCCCGTGCAAATAGGGCTTTAGAGTCATGCAAGATCCCTTTCCTCAATGCCTAATCAAAAATGTAGCACATCATCATCTTAATTGCTCTAACGAATTTATTTTTTAAAACATGTTAGCACAATGCTTAGCAGTGTAATGCTAATACACTGCTAGGCAAGGGCTAACTAAAAACAAAAAAGATGTAACATTTTTAAGATTAAGAATTAATTTAGCAACCCAAGATCTCTCACAAACTAAAATAATGGTGGTGACCTTTTCAAATATTAAATTTCAATCTAAATAAAAAAATAATAATTTTCCAATACCACAAATTTAATAGATGTTATTTATTTATAAATCCTGGTAGAAGCAACCTGGGGCCTGTTCCACAAAACAGGTTTACCAAATAAGCCAGGCTTATTTCAGTTATTCCGTCTTATTTTGAACCAAATCAACTGACAATAAGTCAAACTAACTGAAATAAACCTGGCTTATTTGGTAAACTTGTTTTATGAAACAGGCCCCAGGTGTCTCAGTGTGCTAATTAAAAAAAGAAATCAAGGAATACAGATTACACATACAACACTTTTATTTTTGAATATTAAGACAATGAAGCATAAGCCAAGAGCACCAAGAGTAACAGGTACTGGTGAAAGAGGGCAAGAGCACCAAGAGTAACAGGTACTGGTGAAAGGGGCATGCTGAGCTGCAACCCTCTGCCCCCCAAAAACAGCAAACTGTAACCCAAAGTCAAACAAAATAATACAACAAAGCAACTTAGTAACAGCCTGGGAGTAGGGACCATTAACTGTACATTAGAGAGAATGAAGGAAAGATAAGAGAAAGGACATCAAGTGTGAGTAATTACATTGTACAGTACAAACCTTGGGCAGTGTATAAAAAAAAATAATAATAATTGAAACATAAAAGATGGCGAGAGACAGTGATAACCCCATCACTCCAGATAATCCATGGTGCATGTTTCAGCAAGTGTTTTGAGGGGCTAGTCCCAGGGTCCAATCAGAAATACAGAGGCAGGTCATGGGTGGCGCAAAAATCATCCCAGTCCCAAACTTCACCTTCAGCTCCTTTCTCTAAAACAAATGTGCATATAGAGCTTTACAGTAACATAGTTACCATGATGATGCTTGTGATTTATTGAATCCGAAACCGATTCAACAGAATTTAATACAAGTCAGACAGCCAGTCTTTTATTTCTGTCTAAACATTGTCAAACACAACCTCCCTATAGTTTGTGAACATATCAAATAAAATTGAACAGAAAACCTTTCCTGTTGGTAATGTGCAAGGCTCTGCACCCAAAATAATTTTCTCTCTAATATTTTACAGTCTTTGTTATTTTCTAAAAGAAATTCCAGCTACACCATCTTATTGATAGGCGTATATCGTGAGGTCACACGCTGCCAATCTAAGTCTTAGTATCACATCTGAGAATCATGACCTTTCAACTTGCTTTGTGATCTGTGATAAAGTCTCCATCCATGCTGACTGATCACTTGAGTCAATCATACACCTGATGGTCTATAAATATTTAACAATCATGTTTAACTACATTGTTCTGATAGCAAATCCAGACCTTAAATTGGGTACTAAAATATGGGAGCTTAAAAGCTTTGTGCAGGCTAATTCTTTGAGAGATTTTCAACTTTCTTGTGGCACACAACTACACGCTTGTATAAAAACAAATCAAACGAATGCATGTTTTTGTTGCATTTTCTTCAACAGGGAACTTTGCTGTAATTTGCTGCAACATGCAAATTATCCAGACTAGGGACCTTGAAGAAATTGTAAGAAAATTTAAGAAAAGGCACTTCTGAAAGTTAATAAATCTATAGTGAGCCAATTAGCACCTTTGGGGTCTTAAACAAGGTCCTTTTTAACTTTGAAAATGTTTATCTTGGAATATTTTTGTAATCATTTTGTGAGGATGGTATCTAAAAGCTATCACATTGAAAATTTTTCACCAAACTTAAACCTTTGGTCACATTAATCTATAGTATCGCTCTCATACCTTTATGACACATTGCACCATGTCCATTTTTCTCATGATGTGAACACAATGATCCTAACCTAAAGACAATTTCAAAGGAGACCGACTTCCCCAACAATTCACATCAGTTTTCACAAGGGTCACCATTAGAGCTAAGACCAAGAACATTATTGCATTTCTTTACAGTTGCTAATATTAAAAATATTTCATTTAAATCTGTGTATATATATATATATATATATATATATATATATATTTATCCATTACATCTTTAGTAAAACTAGGGAAAACTGGGGGAGAGAGAAGAGGCACCAGGACCCCATCTCTGCCCCCATCTGACTGAGCAAATGTTCCACCCCTGATGAAAATTGGTACACATAGGTATAGGTAGGTACACGTCAAGTTTCATGAGTTAGTGCAGTGAGGAGTGTCTGGAGCGAAGCCAAGCATGACACTTTTACAGTCGAGCGGTAAGCAGGACAGCTGGCCCCTTCAGACGCCATGTCAACCTAAAACCTGCTTCACAACCTCCATCTAAGCCAAGGCTCTGTCTAAATTGCACTAATTTCACCCACACCTTACAGAAAGAGAGGAGGTGAGGGAGAACAAACCACACAGTGGTGAGTCAGCATCGCCCCAAAGTTCCCTCCTCGGGTCTTTGAATTCTTCCCAGGATGACCCTGACATCCTTTCTTGTGCAAGGGAAAAGACTCAGCGGGATAACGTGCAGGAAGACGACTTTAAATGCATCAGGATAGACTGTGGATTAGTTTTGCTTGGGAGGAACAGATAACAAAACTTTTCATGTCAGCAGAAGTCTCTTGCGGTTGACAGGGAGGTCAGGGGCAGTGCAACACAATCACACAAGCACACAAAGCTGGTTATAGTTGCACGGTACCACACTGCTGTTTAGGTGTTGTGAGATTGAGCTGAGCATTCGGCAGTTCTACCTGATCTCATCAATTGAAAACAAGTCAGAAAGATATGGGAATCAATTGTCATATCCCTAGCAGTACACAAAATATATAATACATCAGCACCAGGCCCATGAAGAGGATGTCTCACTGCGCCATTGGCACTCTGTGCAGGAACAGTCATTGGAAAACATGTTTTTTCCAATTGGACCACTGTTAGTAACACATCCACTGAATGCACCATATGATGAACTAAAAGCTTTAGATGTATGAAGGCACACTGCTTAAGTGATCTAGGTGTTTTTTTGAGACTAAACAGATGGGGCAAACAACACGACAGTTAGAAATCGGTCTTTTCCTTTTTCCAGCATTCATCAAAAACACGTGGCATTTGAAATCCCTCATTTTAGTCAAAGAAATTCAAATGCGGATATGATTCTAAAGTGATAAAGAAGCTGGTCTTGGCCTAGGGGCCAATAATGTGATTATACTCTATTTAAATCCTGAACCGTCCTCCAAAGTTGCTTTCAAAAAAAGAATCTGATAAATGTACTACAGATCATTAAAGGGATAGTTCAACCAAAAAATGAAAATTCTGTCATTAATTACTCACCCTCACGTTGTTTCAAACGTGTAAGACCTTTGCTCATCTTCGGAACACAAATTAAGATATTTTTTGATGAAATCCGAGAGCTTTCTGGCCCTGCATAGACAGCAACACAACACAAGGCCCAGAAAGGTAGTAGGGACAATGTTTAAAATAATGCATGTGACATCATCAACCTGAATTTTATGACACTACGAGAAAACTTTTTATGCATCAGCAGCACCACATGCGTCGTGGTACTCTTGTGAACGCACGTCGAAGACTGACACGGAGAGAAGAAATTGTTCAGTAAAGTCATTATTTTTGTTTTCTTTGCGCACAAAAAGTATTCTCGCAGTTTCATAAAACTATGGTTGAACCACTGATAACATGGACTATTTTAACGATGTCCTTACTACCTTCCTGGGCCTTGAAAGTGGTAGTTTTGTTGTGGTCTATGCAGGGTCAAAGCTCTCGGCTTTCATCAAAAAAAATCTTAATCTGTGTTCTGAAGACGAACAGAGGTCATACGGGTTTGGAATGACATAAGTAATCAATGACAGAATTTTCATTTTTGGGTGAACTATCCCTTTAATCAATTATTAAATCATCCCAAAATCAAGCTAAACAAGCCAGCTTGAACCAAATCCAATGGCACTGATGGGGTCACCTCAAAACTTACTCTGTCCTCTCTAGAACAATATGGACTAGACAAAGTGAACGTAGAGTGTTTATTCCTATATAGGAGGGTGTTTATGCCTAAAAACAATGGTCCCAGTGTAGCATGTTTATGTATTGCCTCTGCTTCACCCATTAACGTAAGCACAGTTAAGTTAAAGTGCTCTCAACCAGTGCCCAACTTCCAGGGCACTGATAGACCATTCAAAACAATACAAAAAAAAGACAGTATACAGAATTAGTCACCCCCCCTGTGCACCTGTGCAATGGAATTAATGATTACAAAACATTTGGACAGCAACAGAACGCAGAGTGTGAGTAACTATATTTTTTGAAAATTTGAAAACCTCACATCACATCGCGTCACGTTGTGCATATCATCCTTATCTTATCGCTTCCCGGAAGCAGAACGCCACAGAACCTTTCTCTCCACTGCAACGCATTCCCAAAAGCTGTCTGGACGCATAGTTTAAGGTCAATCTTTCTTTCATGGATTTCTCCGTCTCGTTCTCAATGAGCAGGGTGAAAGCCTTTCTGTGTCCTGCTCTAGAATGCTTCCCCCCTTTAACAACGGAATGAGCGCAGAATGTTACCATAGGAACCACTGACAGAGCACCATGAAAGCTAAGGATGATGAAAGAAGCTGGGAAAGCAATATTTGAACATCACCCTTCATTTCCCCTCCCCTCAATTTGTCCGCAATGTTACTTTGAATAAACATTAACAATGCATATTTAATGCAAGGGAATTAAAAACAGGTGAATGGTACAACACAAATAAAGTGAAATGGCTATAAACCACATAGTCAAGCAGTGAAAGAGTGGAGGGGCATGAAAATATCTGTATCTGCAGATTCCCCCACAGCCATGGGAACTGAGGGAGAAGGAAAAAGGAGACTAAGACCTCTGCTGCTTCTTCCTAGTCCAGAAGCTGTAGTGAAATGTGCACACTGGAGAGCCACTGTATATGTAAATTCTTTGTTTGTTAGAGTGATAGCAAAAAATGATAGAAGCTTTTATAGTGTTCAGTTTCAGGTCCCTCCTTTTAACCCTTTCCCCTCCACAAAAAAAAAAAATGAATTCCTCCACCTCTGCAAAGTGCTTAATGGACTACTCCTGTTGGAGAGCTGAGAAGTATCTGCCCTGCCTCACTTGGCCTTGACTGGCTCCCTCTCAAGCCAGCGTACGCGCACCCTCTGCTTATAGTGATACTCCCTGAGGTAGTCCCGCAGAGCAGGGGGCATTGGCAGTGCCCCGATGCCATCGTAGGTGATCCCATTGCAAATGGCTGATCGAGCCAGGCTTTGCAGGCCAAATGGGAAGGTCCGGTGCAGAGGCACAGTGAGCAATGGCTCAAAGAACATGCAAGCGCTAGGGTCCTTGTAGTGTTCCAAGAGAGCTGTGACAGTGGCTGCGTGGAATACGCAAGGGTCGTGCACATCAAAGCTGAAGTTGTGATTCCACTGCTCAATGCGTGCGTGCAGCGAACGGCCATAGCGACGGAAGCTAACGGAAAACAGGTAGTCTTCTTGAGCCGAGTCTCGCAGGAGAAAGGTTCCCTCGGGCCGACCATCCAGCAGGGCTTCAGCCTCATAACGGTCCATCACACTCCAGTAGCAGGGAAGTGCTGTGATCTGTAGCAGATCTGGAACCAAGCAGTGGATGTAGTCAATCTGAGTGTGTACTTTCCAAGGGCCCGGTTGCTTGCTGCTCAGGAGGCCCTCAGCCGAAGCGTGCCGCTGCTTGGGCCTGCGAGCTTGCAAGCAAAGAGTGGTGGTATCGTCGTCCTCAGAGTCACAGTTAGCTGCTGTTGCCCCCCGGCTATCGCCTAGGGCCTCACCCATTCCAGGGGCCAACTTAGGTCCCAGTTTATAAAGGGAAGCCAGAGGGGCTGTGATAGCCTCCACTGTGTGGATTTGGGCATCTGGAGGTGGGTCAACACCCTCCTCGATGCTGAGTCGTCTTCTCTCTCTCAAGCGCTCCTCCTCATCTTCCGGCGATGCACAGGTAGCACCGCAAGCATCTGAGGATGAATCTACTGGTGTCATTGTGACTGGTGCTGTGTGCTGTTTAATGAGGTGCCATTTTCGAGCAAGGTCTGATCCTGGTGCGAAGGGGCATGTCTCCAGCATCAGCTCTGTGATTTGTATCTTACGTTTGGGTGGTGGAAGGTGACTGTTCCGAGAGGATGAGCGCAGTGGGAGGCACAGGCCCACTGTATCATGAATCTGCTGCCGTAGGGAACGTGCTGCCCCTGACTCCAGCTCCTCACGGCTGCTACCAGTCCCACGTCTGCGCCGAGACCGGCCTGATCGCCGATCTGTGGTCTCCAGAGAACTCTGAGCCTTAGTGGAACATGAGTGTCTCTTCTTTCCACTCCAAGGTGCATGACGTGAGTAAGAGTCTCTGCGGGCTCCCAAGAGAGCACGAGCATCTTCGGTATCCTGCTCGACTGTGATCTCTAGTATCTGGGGTACATCCACTACACAGTTATGGCCCTGTCGTGTCACACTCCCACCGGTCCTCCATACTACTAGAGGGAGTGCCGCCACACTGCTAGAAGGACTAGCAGCCTCCAGTGTGTTGTCTCCCTGGGCCTTGTCCACACTCTGGCATACTGTGTCTGTTTGCGGTTGAAGCTGTGGTGGCGTTTCAAATCGAGAACCCCCATCTGTGTGGAGCAGAGATTGACATCCCTTCTTAAGGTTGCTCCACACCTTGCCAACCTTCTCCATGAGGTGGGGGCACCTGGATCTGGAACAAAAAGTCAGACTTCTATTAGTATATGATGACAAATCCCAATGAGATGTCCCATTTATACGTCTATCTTGGTTAATCCAATCACAAGTCAAAAAATGAAATTTCTGTCATTAATTACTCACCCTCACGTTGTTTCAAACGTGTAAGACCTTTGCTCATCTTCGGAACACAAATTAAGATATTTTTTGATGAAATCCGAGAGCTTTCTGGCCCTGCATAGACAGCAACACAACACAAGGCCCAGAAAGGTAGTAGGGACAATGTTTAAAATAATGCATGTGACATCATCAACCTGAATTTTATGACACTACGAGAAAACTTTTTATGCATCAGCAGCACCACATGCGTCGTGGTACTCTTGTGAACGCACGTCGAAGACTGACACGGAGAGAAGAAATTGTTCAGTAAAGTCATTATTTTTGTTTTCTTTGCGCACAAAAAGTATTCTCGCAGTTTCATAAAACTATGGTTGAACCACTGATAACATGGACTATTTTAACGATGTCCTTACTACCTTCCTGGGCCTTGAAAGTGGTAGTTTTGTTGTGGTCTATGCAGGGTCAAAGCTCTCGGCTTTCATCAAAAAAAAATCTTAATCTGTGTTCTGAAGACGAACAGAGGTCATACGGGTTTGGAATGACATAAGTAATCAATGACAGAATTTTCATTTTTGGGTGAACTATCCCTTTAATCAACAGTTTCATAAAACTATGGTTGAACCACTGATAACATGGACTATTTTAACGATGTCCTTACTACCTTCCTGGGCCTTGAAAGTGGTAGTTTTGTTGTGGTCTATGCAGGGTCAAAGCTCTCGGCTTTCATCAAAAAAAAATCTTAATCTGTGTTCTGAAGACGAACAGAGGTCATACGGGTTTGGAATGACATAAGTAATCAATGACAGAATTTTCATTTTTGGGTGAACTATCCCTTTAATCAATTATTAAATCATCCCAAAATCAAGCTAAACAAGCCAGCTTGAACCAAATCCAATGGCACTGATGGGGTCACCTCAAAACTTACTCTGTCCTCTCTAGAACAATATGGACTAGACAAAGTGAACGTAGAGTGTTTATTCCTATATAGGAGGGTGTTTATGCCTAAAAACAATGGTCCCAGTGTAGCATGTTTATGTATTGCCTCTGCTTCACCCATTAACGTAAGCACAGTTAAGTTAAAGTGCTCTCAACCAGTGCCCAACTTCCAGGGCACTGATAGACCATTCAAAACAATACAAAAAAAAGACAGTATACAGAATTAGTCACCCCCCCTGTGCAATTAGTGGTAGGAATTAATGATTACAAAACATTTGGACAGCAACAGAACGCAGAGTGTGAGTAACTATATTTTTTGAAAACCAAGCGCTCTCACATCACATCGCGTCACGTTGTGCATATCATCCTTATCTTATCGCTTCCCGGAAGCAGAACGCCACAGAACCTTTCTCTCCACTGCAACGCATTCCCAAAAGCTGTCTGGACGCATAGTTTAAGGTCAATCTTTCTTTCATGGATTTCTCCGTCTCGTTCTCAATGAGCAGGGTGAAAGCCTTTCTGTGTCCTGCTCAAGAATGCTTCCCCCCTTTAACAACGGAATGAGCGCAGAATGTTACCATAGGAACCACTGACAGAGCACCATGAAAGCTAAGGATGATGAAAGAAGCTGGGAAAGCAATATTTGAACATCACCCTTCATTTCCCCTCCCCTCAATTTGTCCGCAATGTTACTTTGAATAAACATTAACAATGCATATTTAATGCAAGGGAATTAAAAACAGGTGAATGGTACAACACAAATAAAGTGAAATGGCTATAAACCACATAGTCAAGCAGTGAAAGAGTGGAGGGGCATGAAAATATCTGTATCTGCAGATTCCCCCACAGCCATGGGAACTGAGGGAGAAGGAAAAAGGAGACTAAGACCTCTGCTGCTTCTTCCTAGTCCAGAAGCTGTAGTGAAATGTGCACACTGGAGAGCCACTGTATATGTAAATTCTTTGTTTGTTAGAGTGATAGCAAAAAATGATAGAAGCTTTTATAGTGTTCAGTTTCAGGTCCCTCCTTTTAACCCTTTCCCCTCCACAAAAAAAAAAAATGAATTCCTCCACCTCTGCAAAGTGCTTAATGGACTACTCCTGTTGGAGAGCTGAGAAGTATCTGCCCTGCCTCACTTGGCCTTGACTGGCTCCCTCTCAAGCCAGCGTACGCGCACCCTCTGCTTATAGTGATACTCCCTGAGGTAGTCCCGCAGAGCAGGGGGCATTGGCAGTGCCCCGATGCCATCGTAGGTGATCCCATTGCAAATGGCTGATCGAGCCAGGCTTTGCAGGCCAAATGGGAAGGTCCGGTGCAGAGGCACAGTGAGCAATGGCTCAAAGAACATGCAAGCGCTAGGGTCCTTGTAGTGTTCCAAGAGTGCCGTGACGGTGGCTGCATGGAACACGCAAGGGTCGTGTGCATCAAAGCTGAAGTTGTGATTCCACTGCTCAATGCGTGCGTGCAGCGAACGGCCATAGCGACGGAAGCTAACGGAAAACAGGTAGTCTTCTTGAGCCGAGTCTCGCAGGAGAAAGGTTCCCTCGGGCCGACCATCCAGCAGGGCTTCAGCCTCATAACGGTCCATCACACCCCAGTAGCAGGGAAGTGCTGTGATCTGTAGCAGATCTGGAACCAAGCAGTGGATGTAGTCAATCTGAGTGTGTACCTTCCAAGGCCCCTGTTGCTTGCTGCTCAGGAGGCCCTCCGCCGAAGCGTGTCGCTGCTTGGGCCTGCGAGCTTGCAAGCAAAGAGTGGTGGTATCATCGTCCTCAGAGTCACAGTTAGCTGCTGTTGCCCCCCGGCTATCGCCTAGGGCCTCACCCATTCCAGGGGCCAACTTAGGTCCCAGTTTATAAAGGGAAGCCAGAGGGGCTGTGATAGCCTCCACTGTGTGGATTTGGGCATCTGGAGGTGGGTCAACACCCTCCTCGATGCTGAGTCGTCTTCTCTCTCTCAAGCGCTCCTCCTCATCTTCCGGCGATGCACAGGTAGCACCGCAAGCATCTGAGGATGAATCTACTGGTGTCATTGTGACTGGTGCTGTGTGCTGTTTAATGAGGTGCCATTTTCGAGCAAGGTCTGATCCTGGTGCGAAGGGGCATGTCTCCAGCATCAGCTCTGTGATTTGTATCTTACGTTTGGGTGGTGGAAGGTGACTGTTCCGAGAGGATGAGCGCAGTGGGAGGCACAGGCCCACTGTATCATGAATCTGCTGCCGTAGGGAACGTGCTGCCCCTGACTCCAGCTCCTCACGGCTGCTACCAGTCCCACGTCTGCGCCGAGACCGGCCTGATCGCCGATCTGTGGTCTCCAGAGAACTCTGAGCCTTAGTGGAACATGAGTGTCTCTTCTTTCCACTCCAAGGTGCATGACGTGAGTAAGAGTCTCTGCGGGCTCCCAAGAGAGCACGAGCATCTTCGGTATCCTGCTCGACTGTGATCTCTAGTATCTGGGGTACATCCACTACACAGTTATGGCCCTGTCGTGTCACACTCCCACCGGTCCTCCATACTACTAGAGGGAGTGCCGCCACACTGCTAGAAGGACTAGCAGCCTCCAGTGTGTTGTCTCCCTGGGCCTTGTCCACACTCTGGCATACTGTGTCTGTTTGCGGTTGAAGCTGTGGTGGCGTTTCAAATCGAGAACCCCCATCTGTGTGGAGCAGAGATTGACATCCCTTCTTAAGGTTGCTCCACACCTTGCCAACCTTCTCCATGAGGTGGGGGCACCTGGATCTGGAACAAAAAGTCAGACTTCTATTAGTATATGATGACAAATCCCAATGAGATGTCCCATTTATACGTCTATCTTGGTTAATCCAATCACAAGTTAATAATTCTAAATATAAGTGTTCATCTTCAAAAATGTTTCTTCCACGTTCAGAGGAAGTCAGAAACAAATGTGACCACTTTGCCTGTGTAGTAACTTAAGCTATCCATATGTAACTTGAACAATCAATCCATTAAACCAATTTACACATATTTATACTTTGCCAACAAAATCAGTATTTTTTAAAGAAACATTTATTAATTTAAATGAGACTAACATATAAAAGACTTACCAATATAAAAAAAATTACCACCTTAAAACATAACGTAAAAAAACAAAGTCCTAAAATATTTGCATAATGGCTATGATAGTAAATTAATGTGAACTCTCACGGTTACAGATCAAGCATAACTGAACATCAATTAATATAGAAATAAGACATTAACATACTCAAAAAAAAAAAAAGTGCAAAGTGTTTATATTTTTATGATTTATCAACAGGGAGTGACAATCACTCAATACATGATGCAATTATAAGTGGCCACAGGAGACTCAGGAGAATTAAGGATGTTAATTCCAGGTGTATACGGCAATCTTTCTCGACTGACCACTTAGGATTGGATCACCCAAGACAGACGTTAATACCAGCTGTAAACAGGGCCTAAGTGATTAAAGTGTTGCCAGGCAGACTCACTGAGACTCAAGGCCAGCGCTAAAAATGAACTAATGGAACTGCTCCCAGTCAACATGCTGCTGTGGGCTGGGTTACAATGCCGGTCTGGGCCGGTCTTTTCTGACCCGCCATAGCAGAGCACTCAGCAGCTAATGAACTGAGAGATTTTGCATGATCTCTGTAAATCTTATCTTCCTTAATCGCTGTGTATAATAACTTTTGATTTGGCTTTAACTTTAATAATCTTGAAAAAGCTCATGCACTCTTCCCAAACAGAAGCACGAATTTGTGTTTGGGCTAATTAACTGTTCACTGGCAGTTATTCACATGTAATTGTAAAAGCAACACCATGATAGACCAGACCAAAAAGTCAGAACAGGTCAAACGTGAGTCAGCAAAAAATAGAGTAGTGAGCGCCTCCAGGTGAAGCATGAGTTCAAGAACTGCATGTACTCTGGCTAACCCATCCTTTCACAGGATAAACTTTCCACCTATGAACACAAAGCAAGCTGTATAACCCAAGTGCATGTCTTTCTATGGAAAGTTTAAAAAATTTAAAATAAATAAATGGTACTAAAACCAATAACATAATATTAAAAACAAAAAAGCCACAACAAAATAACTATCAAATCATGTCATTGCATTAATTTGCAATCAAAAAGGACTTTAAATTATTTAATGTAAAATATGTCACAACAAGAGAAGCCTGAACTATAGAGAAAAACTGCCATAAATAATTAATGATAGTTCAAGTCTCCTGATAAAAAAAACAACAGAATGTAGGTCATGTGGGAGAATGAGCTACAGTGCATTATTCACCTTCTCTCAGATAGTAGAGAGGAAAAGGATGGGTATCATGTTTTTAGAGGCTGCTCGGTGTCATGTGTAAATGTCCTACAAATTTCAGTTGGATAAACTTGTGATGCTGACAGAAAATCAGCAGCTGGTATATTGATTAGGGTGGGAGCTGCAGACTATTCTGTAAAATTGCCAAGTTAAAATTACAGAATTTCAACATACAAAGGCTTGTTTGCAGTGTTACAATAATTGAGTCCATCTCAAGGAGGAGTCCAAGACTGTATTTTCTATGACTAGTCGAGACCAGCTCATTTGAGTAAGGGTCCAGTTCAAATGCTCCCGAAAATATGGTCTTGGTCTCGGACTTGAGACAGACTTCAGTTCCGAGCCCAGTCTTGTCTAAACTCGTCCAAACCAAACTTCCAAAAAAAAAAAAAAAAAAAAAAACTTTAAAAAAAAATGAAAGGCGGGCAGATTCCAACTTCCAAATTCCAACTCCTGAACTGAGAGAGAGAGAAGAGATTTCATTAATCCTGAATTTTGCGTAACCCTAAATTGTTATAGACCTGTTGCTTTAATATCATGGTGGATTCATCTTTGTGCTAATGGTCATCAGGTTAGCGGTCTGTAAATGCAGTAAAAGTAATAAATGTACTAACAGTAGCTAAATGGCGTGGGATCTCAACTTTAATTGAGAATTTAGTCCCGGGCCGTCTATCTCATAAACACCCAAAAAAAAAACTAAAAAAAAAAAAAAAAAAAAAAAAAACTTTAAACAACAATGAAAGGCAGGCAGATTCCAACTTCCAAATTCCAACTCCTGAACTGAGAGAGAGAGAAGAGATTTCATTAATCCTGAATTTTGCGTAACCCTAAATTGTTATAGACCTGTTGCTTTAATATCATGGTGGATTCATCTTTGTGCTAATGGTCATCAGGTTAGCGGTCTGTAAATGCAGTAAAAGTAATAAATGTACTAACAGTAGCTAAATGGCGTGGGATCTCAACTTTAATTGAGAATTAAAATTTTCATCTGGATGAGTTACAAGCTATATTTAAAGAACGCAAGTCATAATACCCTTGTACTTTTAAACCCTCACCTTCATTCATGATTCTATATATTGTACCTGCTGCTCAATGTCAGTACGGTACACGAGTGGACATACAGCAAAATCCTATTAACTCTCATAATCTTCCTTCTGTCTTTTCTGCCCATCTTTCCTCTGGTCACCTTGTCTTTGTCCCTTTCAAAGCCAGTCTGACAGCATAAAGGATGACCATAAATCAAAGTTCAGATCTGGCAGTGCAGCTATGGTGACAATGTGCACAGAGGCCAACAAGCCTAACCTTTCCCCCAAACTCAGAAACTTGCTCCACTTCCAGAATGAGCATGCACTACATATGTAAAATTGTGGTGCAGGGTGGTCAGAAGGGTTCATGAAAAGGGGTCAAAGAGTTCATTAAAATGTATTCTGTGAAACTTCGTGCTAAATATGAAGCCAAGGGTCATTTGTTTTTTGCCTAGATTTGCAATCAAAAAAGTTGCATACATATTGAAACAAGACTGTTGCGCAAAAAGTATTGCATGACCAACATTAGCACTACTGAAATGACTAGAACTGTGGTGAATTGACATTATATAACCTAACGCAAACGTGGTTGGGACGCACACCAGAGTGAATGTACATTAACTTCCTAGTGCACTCTGGTCTCAAAGGCCAAGTCTATCACCTGAAGTCAACCACTTCCCAACAGACACCAACTGTGGAGATCTTCAATATACTGTCTTTTGAAACCCCATGGGAAAAAGACCAGAACCAGAGTACACCCTCTTGTGTACTCTATCTGCAAGATGTGTATATATTCTATGCAACGGTAATCTTGGCAATAACCTATAACGCATACATGATGTAATGAATCAGGCTGTTTTGTCGAATGTTTCCATCCCTAATGTTTTCTTATACTATGCACGTGACACAGGGGAGGCTCATGTTTGGCTGTGGGGCTCCCTTGTGTGGCTAAGAGACAGAACCGCACCCCAAGAGCACACATACAAAACTATTTTAAAATATTTGGCAAATATTGGCAAAGGCAATACCCCTTCCTCAAGTGGAAATCATACCTAAACAGACACTATAAATTACCCCAGAATTTGCCATTCCGGATTGAGATGCTGATATAGTTGAATCAATATACCTATATACTTACGTATATAATTATATTGCAATACTTACATACATAGTTATATTACAATATATTATAGTCCTGATATTATAATATCAGGAATGAAATAAAGACCTAGTCTACAGAGGGTCTATGGGCAACATAAAGTGAAAATGCTTCTCATTTAAATACAAATGTTTTCATTACTTACAGGATTATCTGCTTAACAGAAATTTGTAAAATCTCTCAGTACTTGGTTTGTACACCTATTACTCCAATGACAGCAGTACTCAAGCTGCATGAACTCCATTAGTCTGTGTCAAACCTGATGATCATGTTCCTCAGCATGATTTGAGAATGTTCCAAAGAGCATCTTGTGCTTCAGTGGAAGAACATCGGACTGTCTGTACAAAGGAGTTCACATGATCAGTGTAATGAATTTAATTACTTGATCAGCAACCTGGAAATCCAAAATATTTCACTTAATATGAAAACATTTGCTTTCAGTCCTGAAACTTCTGGATCTCATTATAAAAAGGAATGTTCTTAGATCGTCATAATCATTCATTTCTATCTTTATTTGTATATATATTTTATGTATAATATTTTGAGTAATGTAGTTATAAAGTGTTAGAACTTTAGAATTTCTGTATTTAATTAAATACAGATATGAGCTTGTATATTGTACATCACTACAAGAAAACACATTACTACAAATAAAATACAAGAATACAAAAAGATGTAACAACCAATTGTCTCTACATTAGATTCCACTCATTCTATAGATACTGAACTAATGATTATATAGATTAGAATAAGAATACATCCTAACTATTAATTACATCACAGTCATCAAAAACCTAAGCCATAACCACCTTAAGTTGTTTATTTTCCCAACATTTACATAGCAAATTTTCATTCCAGCTTTTTTAGCAAATGCATACTGCATAAATGCAGTGCAATGAGATGAGTTTAAATACTAAGAATGGCTTTTTCAAATCCTACATTTACCCCATCAATTCTACTTTTCCAATGGCAGTTTTAGACACACACACATATATATATATATATACACACATATATATATATACACATATATATATAAATAACAGCAATTCTTGATACTTCTGTACTTACCAATTTAAACCCTCATTACTCTGCACTCCATGACTTAGGTTTTTGCTTTAACCAGTTAGAGCATATTAATGGATTAATAGATCTGTTCTCATGTTCCCCTTGTTCTACCATTGACAAGATGCAACAGAACTGTCTGTGGATGAATCCTGGCACCAGATCACAAAACACTAGCCCGGTAAATACTATGCTATTCTCTGCTCAGCTTGGGTTTCTGCTACCAAGAACGCTAACAAGCCTTGCCCAGAGCTGCAGCTTCCTGGTAGCGTGGGCCCAGCCCCCTCTGTCCCCCCAGGTCTCGCCCCCCTTCACCTGATACTGCAGCCAAATTCTACACCAGACATCTCTAGAACCCAAGTGCCAGAAGAGGAAGCAGTCCGCCTCGTTCTCATGCTGGACAGACACTCACAATCTACACAGTCATTTCAAACAAACATTCACACCAAAATTCAGCTTCTGTTCACAGAAAGATTGTGCATGCTGTTCATGCCTGAGCTCTTTTGATAAAAGTCTGAGCACCACATGAGATTGAGAAAGAGCCCCTATCAACCGCATACACCTTCAGTAACGGCGGAAACTACTGGATGTAAAATATGCCCGTCTCTGACGATAAGAAACTATATTAAATGAAAAACATCTGTATTATATGAAGTAAATCAAATAGGAGTACACTAAGTGGTAGAGTCGTACATATAGTTGATAACATCCATGCCCTGGATAGCACACAGACAAGGTGGGTTGTACTTCCTTGCACAACAGATAAGACAGACAGAGCCTCAGCAATGGTGTTTTACTTTAGCTGCTGTAAGAAAAAGTGGCATCTCTGTTTAACTCTACACTAGTCCTTTTAAACACTAGGAACAATCTTTGAACCCTAATTAATACATGATCACACAATTATGATCCATGTAATACTATGAATTTTTTTTTATCAATATACTTTTGATAAAAATACATTCAGTCTTGGTTCCATGAATAACTTTTAACATGGAATCATTCCATTGCAAAATGGATTCTTTAAAAAGGTATTTCAGATTAATAAAATGTTTTTTTCACACTAAGAAAAACTGGTTCTTTTAAGAACTGTTCACTAATGGTTCTTCTGTGGCATCACTGCAAAAATCTCCTTTCGGAACCTTTGTTTTTAAGAGTGCTGTGTAATATACATTTAAGACACATGGAATCTCATAATTTCTTTCATAAAATAAATCTATAAAATAACAATAAATAACCAATAAACAAATCTATTAGCATTGATATTTGAGACTAATTTGAATCATACAACCTGGCCACTAAGAAGTTAACACTTTACAATAAGGTTTAATTTGTTAACATGAATTAACTACATTAGTTCAGCATTTATTAATCATAATGTTAGTCAACATTTACCAAACATTTATTTAAAAAAATTCTGTTAGCAATAGATAATTCACGAAACATTTTTTTTAAATTAACACTAACACTAATTAATAAATGCTGTAAAAAAAAAACAATACTGCTCATTGTTAGTTAATGTTAGCTAATGAGGCCTTACTGTACAGTATTACCGATGTATACTCTTAAAAATAAAGGTGCTTCACGATGCCATAGAAGAACCTTCTTGTCTAAATGGTTCCATAAAGAACCTTTAACATCTGAAGAACCTTTCTGTTTCACAAAAGGTTCTTTGTGGTGAAAGAAGGTTCTTCAGATTACAAAAACGCAAGAAAGAGATGGTTCTTTAAAGAACCTTTGACTGAATGGTTCTTTGTGGAACCAAAAATGGTTCTTCTATGGCATCACTTGAAGAACCTTTTGAAGCACCTTTATTTTTAAGAGTGTACTTAAGTGCAGTGAAGCAGCTTTCTAGGAAACGTCTGTTGCAATGTCTAAGCCCCGCTCAAGAGAACTAAAATATCTGGACAGGCCTTAACCTCTGCACACATAAATACTTCAGCAGGAGTTTAGTGCCTCTCACTCTCTGTTAATTGTCTTCCGTGTCAAAAGAATTTATCTGTGATACCCTGAACTAGCAGGTCATATTTCAAAAAACAATTTGTTTTCTGAACAAACCCACAACTTTTAGCACTTGTGGCAGGTCTGCAGAAATAGAAAATATTCTTAGGTATCCTCAAACTCCACAAACCACACGTTTGGGGGAAAAGACTACTGTAAAGCTGTAGTGTTAAGGAGGTTTTATGGGCCTACCGAGGTTACACCACTGTATATCTTATGCAACAATGGGCCACAACCCCTATTTAGAACATTTAGATAGGCATTAAATCTACATTGAGTAACATTTCCCACCTAATACCACTTGGATCAATGCACTTTTTGCAAATTCGAGTCAGAAACTAAACAAGGTTCTAGGCAAATTGCCTCTCGGAAGTTACAAAAACATCCCAGATATTTAAAATGTGCACAGTGAATTTCTCGGTAATCTAACATTTGACATATTTCATAACATGCATTCTAAGAGTTTCTATTAACAGATTCAGTATGGGTTTTGTTTCGCCGCAGACACCGTTGTGACCTGCAGCTGTCACATATCTGTCTCAAAAACAAATTCTAGTGGTGATTGTCTTATATCTTGGGATTATTTATGGCTTCTTTCATATTTAATTTGTTAAATTCATTTCAGACGTATCGGTCAAAATTGTTCAGATTCAGAATGAACAGATTTAATTATAGTATCTAACATAAAATAAGTTTTTTACATGGTAAAAAAAAAATATATATATATATATATATGACCCTGGACAACAAAACCAGTCATGAGGGTAATTTTTTTTAAATTTAGATTTAAACATCATATAAAAGCAGAACCAATAAGATTGTCATTGATGTATGGTTTGTTAGGACAGGAGGGATTTTAGGCATAAAAGAAAAATCAATAATTTTGACCCATACAATGTATTTTTGGCTATTGCTACAAACATACCTGTGCTACTTGCGACTGCTTTTGTGGTCCAGGGTCACATATGTATAAAAAAATAAAAATTGCCCCCATAGCGGCAAAAAATTGCCTTTAAACAAAGATCATTTTTGACACTGATTATATAAAAATGTATGCTCTCAGCTTAAAATACATTTTATATATATATATATATATATATATATATATATATATATATAATCTATTCTGGTGTGCAATTTTCAATTTAAGAAAACATGTGAAATTTAAGAAATATGTATATTAAAAAAAAAAACTTAAAGATGAGAAGGTTTATCTTCATAACAGTAATTTATACCACACAACTGAATTAAGGTTGGATTTACTCCATGGCCAAGCATTTCTACTGTTTGACATGTTATGTCATTTCATAAGCAGTCATGTGTATACGCCTAATAAACCTCAGATAAAGAAATTACCTTTTTTACCATGTGCCTAAATTTGTTAATTAAAAAAAAAAAGAAGACTATTATTTATTTATTGACATGACGTAAACTTTGTTAAATGGACCAGACTAGGCCTTTCACATTAACAGTGAGGCAGGTATAGCAGTCAATCCAGGCATGGAAATAGCGGGATGTTTCTGGATATCTTCATGATTTTCACCACACATTACATGCTATTAGAACCACTGAATTGCATACATTATATGTGGATCATCAAGCTAGGTCTGTGCTGAATAACTCGATGTGCGTCATTTTAAGTGTCTCTATACATTTCTCTTGGTTGCTTTAGTTGAACCGGCTTCGGACAATCAGAAAGGGGGCCGACTGAAAAAAAAACTAGTTAAAAGACATCGAACATTCGCCTTAACATGAAATAATCGATGCGCATTCCCAACACACGGAGAGATAAACTCACCGATCCTTCTGTCGAGATCTTTTATTGTTTTTTCGGATGTCTTCTTTTGTTTGCGAAAAAAATGCTAACAATAGTCGGGTACATTTTCCCGAGGCTAGAGACGGTGCTGGATAAAACACACGGACGGGACTCGATTGGAACCATAACTGCGATAATCGAAAAGCAAACTGCACGTCAATGTGTCGATGAACTCGTAAACATTTTGTATTTACATGGCCTACGATCCCCTCATCCCGTTGGCATTTCTTTCCCTGCCGGGCCGATATGGTCGCCAAGTGCAGCAGAGAAGAGAATCAGGAGAGGTGGTGGTGGCAAAGCTGCTGTTGACTGACATCAAGGGACTCCAATTGCGCGAAGTTCTGTGTTCCGGCGGATACGGATGGGGAAAGACTTTAGAAGAAAGCGTCACTTCCCCGCTCGAATTCCAGCTAGTGATGGGATGTCTGAATCAATTCAGTGAGTCGGTTCGTTTGAACAGTTGGTTTCAGAGAATCGGATCAAAAATGATTCAGACGTTCTTTTACGTAATTACGAGTATACGTGGTCCCTGACATCCCGGCTTGGTATATTACTGAAACTTTCCGAACAATAAAGCCAAATATAGGCACGTTTTGGAGTTTAAAAGTGTTATAAATAATAAACCAAAAAAAAAAAGAAAAGATATTTCGCTTATTGTAATATCATATCTCATATTCCATCTTTATTCGACCCTCTAACTCTAGCACTTTCTATTCTATTTTAATTCTAATTTATCTATTTATCTTTTTTCTTTGTGTGTGTGTGTGTGTGTGTGTGTGTGTGTGTATGTATATAAATAATACCTTGCTGTGTACTGCGTTAAGCTAACCGAGACTTGTCATTGCACTTACATATTGTTGCTCTTTTGTTAGTCTTTTTTTATTGCTTCTAGTGTCCTCATTTGTAAGTCACTTTAGATAAAAGTGTCTGCTAAATGACTAGATGTAAATGTAAATCTCAGTTCAGTGTGTTCGGCCTTTATATGCATTAAAGCATTTTAATCATAATTTGCATTGAAATTAGGCCTATACTAAAATTATTTTACATTTCTTGGCTAAAAAGTTTTCCACGTGTTACAATGATATGTATTAAAACTAAAACTCGCTTTTGTATGTTGATAAAACAATAAAGACATACAATGTTGTACAAAGTTCTAAACATACTTAAACTAACTTACTTTTCGCCTCATTAAATTCTCAGTTCATTTTGAAAATTCGCATCTTCTCTTTCTGATTATCTTCTCCTTTCGGTTTACTACCACGAATCGGCATGTCCGAACAATTTTCTCCTAGACCTATTCAGTTCGATAAACGAGGCGAGATTTGTGAACCGGTTCAGCTCCATAAAAAAATCCGATTCAAAAGAACGCCTCGTTCACGATTCGGGCTTCACTAAATCCAGCCCCAGACTATAGTGAACGACAGATCAGGGCTGCGTTCAGCTCCGACAAAAACGGTGCAAAACGTTTTTTAAACGGAAACGGTGGTGCATTGAACACTCTGTTCTGATGACACAAGAGTTGCAACTATGGCAGCGGAGAAGGCCATTCTTTGTGTTCTTTTAGAATAATTTTCGGAGCTTGATGAAATCGGTATAAATAGGTGTTTAATACTGCAAAATATGCTCGATGGTGCAGTCACTGCCCTTGCCCTCCAGAATAAAAGAGAACATCCCAATCAAGTGAAGGGATTTGTGCAAACTGTGGTTCCTAATTATTGTGATCCAACATTTGCCTCACATTTCAGGATGAAAAGACAAACGTTTCAGGTGAAGGATAATCCACTTCTTCCCTCCAAGACTATGTTATGATCTATATGACCGTATTATTTTTTAGGCTTATCATTATTGCTGCTCGCTGTTGTTGTGCTATGATATTGTAATAGTTACCATTATATAATCAGAGGGGTATAGAAAAGTTTATGAAAGTGTCACTCCATAATACAATAGCAAAATATATAAATATGTATAGTATTTTTATGTTACATTAATCAGTATTTAGCACACAATAGAAGACATTGCAATTACTAAGTGATATTTAGACAGACTTAAAGAAGTTCCAGATCTATACTTGTGCTCTTATTATTTTAGTTATTTTGCCTTTAATGTAAATAAACATGTGCGAATAATATACTTGCTCTTGTGAATTTATTTGGATGTTAATTACATTGATTGTGCGAGCTAGCTGTCTCTTTAATACCGCGTGGTTTACATACATGTTGCTGCTGATTGGGCTGACATGTTTGACACACCCACCAAACAAGAGAAAACGCATCTCAAACCCCGTTGCACACCGTTTCCAGGAAACATGTCGTTCAACCCGGAAACCGTAGCAAAACGGTGCACACTGCACATCGGTTTGAGCTTGAACTTGCCCCTGGCTCAGTCAACTGGTTGCTCAAGTGACAAGATATAAACACAAATTAAGACGTTAAGTGTCTGTGCTGAAAAGCAGACTCGCACGAATGTATCCTAACTTGCATAATGTGTTTTGATCTGTATGTAGTGTTATGTAGGGCGATTATATAACTAGAAACACGAGCAACCACGTGTATACGTTTGCATGCACAATTTTTGGTTCAATCGGACTGAATTCATTCCGATTGATGAATCTGAATGTAGTGTTTACATGAACGCTAAAGAAAGTGATCGGGTTGATGTGCGTGTTTACATGTCACAAGCTTCAACTCGGAATTTATTTATTTTTTGTCATGCGCACACTGCACAAATATAGAGTTTCTCACTGTTTGCACATAATAACCACTCTCCTACACGGTTTCTTTATTTGTTTTTAACAGCAGAATTAATATAGATTAATTTATGGATAAATATACATCTAAACCGCTGTGCCGTGCTGCTCATATTTATCACGCAGTAAAAATGCCCCGCGCCCAAAACGGGTTGGATGAGAATCAAAAACAAGGACTGGTGGGAGGTTGTTCTGCTCCACTTCACAGTTGCCGAGTGAAAGGAGAGTTTTTAATGACAGGACACGCATTTATACACTTTATTCAAAAGGTGTTCTGCGCGTCATACGTCATTACGCTATTTCTGCGTCATTGCACATGCGCAGTTCTTTCAGTTTCGGGGTTCAATCCGATCGAGTGTTTACATGCACTCTCAATCGTATTAGAAAAGGAATAAACCACCCCCTTCGATCCGATCGAAATTTCATTCTGATCGAGCTCAGTCGAATCAATTAAGGTGTTTACATTAAGGTCTTTCGATTGAGCCGTCAATCTGATTACAAATGGATTATTTGGTTGCATGTAAACGTAGCCAGTGACACCATACTGCATGGAGAAGTGTTGCGGATTTAAAGAAAGAATAATCTGAAAAAAAAATTAAGCTTGTGTTACTTTAAAAAAATGTTTTTTTTTTAGCTTGCAGGTCGAGAAATGGCTGTCAAGCACTTCATTTATTGGATTTTGTTCAGTTGTGTTATATAAGCTATCCAATGTGTCATAACGGATTTGTGAGTGTAATGAAAAATCATCTTAAAAAACACCCTGACATTATATTCAGCTATAACATAGTAAACAATATGTGAAATACAAAAGAGTTTCTCTATAAATAGTTTCTAAGAAAAGGAAACCGTGTTGACTATCATGTGAGTGAGTCTTCCTTTATCCAGTGTCCCCTTCATGCAACCTAGTCAGGTGACATGGGTGCATGTCCTGTGACAAAGGCTTGCTTCTCTTTAAAATCCCCTGTAAGCCACAGTGTCAACTATTGACCTTTACAATCAGTGAAGCTCATGTGTGCTTGGACTCTAACAGCATATGCTTTTCATCTCCTTACAGTACTCAGATACTTTGATATTCATATAGGGCTCTCTGTGGATTAATTAATCATGCGACTTTAGAAAGTCTAAGTCAGCAAAATTCACGTGAGCAAGATTAGGCAAAAAATGTGTCCAACCTTATTAATTGCTGGAAGGATACTGCAGTGTTTGTTTCTTGATATTTGGAGACATTTGTATGGAGCTGACAAAATATCCTTTAACGTTCGCACTTAGCGTTATTGTTAAATGGAGGTATATAAAAATGCTTTTAAATTTCGTGCAGTAGTTTTAATTTTAGGTCGTTTGCTATGACAACCCCCACCTCCCATTTCAAGTAAAGTTGTTTTAATTAATCTTTATGGAATAATTAAAAGTGATATACTGCCCTCTACTGATTTAATCTGCTTTAAACATAAAAATGACCTTTTCAACCACTACACAGATTTGATTTATTTATTTGTACCCTGCATTAGTTATGATGATAGACTACTTTTTTAGTGTGAGATTAACCCTTTAAACCGCCGGCGGAACACCACCCGCACAAAAAAATTCAAAATTAATGTAATTATTTCGATCAACTCTTAACGAGCGCTGCTGAGCAGTCCCTCTAAACCGAAGTGTACCGCGGGCGGGACGCACCCCCTCCCCGACAATATTACTAATCATATTTTTTCAAACCACTGCCTTGATCAACAAAAAATGTATATCTTTTGAAAGCCCAGTCTCAAACTTGAGTCTGAGCTTTACAATGAATGTAGCCACTTTGATTAACTCCAAAGTAGTGCCGAGTTATTTGCTAATAAATGACAAAAAAAAAGAAATCATAATTTACAAAATATGTTTTTTGTGCCCTGTACTCTAATATGTCAAAAATATCATACAGCTTGGATAGTCATGTGTCATATGTCATATGCCATTTGAAAGGTCTCATTGAGTATAATAAAACAAGCATAATTGTTTGGGGCTTTGAATAAACTGGAGCGAGTTTTTGTACAAGAAGTCACCCCCAGACCCATATGAAACTAATGTATTGATGTCACCGTTTTACTTGTAACTTCATAAAACATGATCAGATCATGGAAAAGTAGGCACCATAAAACCATAAAATGAGTCCAAAATCACTATAATCTGCCATTTATATCTAAAGATTTTCCTCATGAATTTATAACCCACATAAAACTGCACAGGCAGCATAGTTTAGCCAAAAAAATCTAAGGTAGCTGTCATGTGGTGATTTCTCTCATAACTTCATGAAACATGCATATATCATAGAAAATGACACCATTATTTGCATGCTTGATTAAAAAGAGCCCAAACTCACTATAATCCATCGCTCCGATCTAAAGATATCTCTCATAAAGCTATAACTCATAGAAAAGAATTAGGTCATGTAGCTTAGCAAAAAAATCAGAGGTTGCAGTCATGTGGCGTTTTAGCTTGTAACTTCACCAAACATGCATAGATCTTGAAAAGCCGCACATCATTATATTCGAAAAATTCTCCCAGTTAAAAAGAGCCCAAATTTACCATAATCCGTCTTTCATAGAA